GTGATCGGATCATTTTTTTTTTTTGAGTAATCGCTGCAGCAAATTCGGAAAATGCTGTTTCGAGAAAAACGCGTTTAAAGATAAAATGATCGTTATACTATATACTATATATGTACTCTTTAAATGGCTGTGACTCAAAACAACTATTTAATATATCGATTTAAATTTTGGTATGTTATTTTTAAAGGCATACCCTATTGAAATATGAAAAAATTGAGAATTCGATTTTTTGAAAATTTCACACTAGTTGTGCCCCTTAAATTATATCCACATATATTTTTTTGGAACAACAAAGGACTCTAGGGCAACGCGGTATACTCACAAAGCTCAGTAAAAACGCAAAATGTTATCTACAACTGTAAAAATAAAATATAAAAATTGATTTTCCATAGAACGCGCTACAAATTAGTCTGATTTGTACGTTAAATTCGGTATGGAGCGAATTGCAGCTCCAATGTACAAAATGCAACAACGCAGAAAGCTGTTCGCTTCATACAGGGCAATATAAAAATATTACCCCAAAATATTAGGTATAATTTTCAGTACCCGCTTGACGAGCGAAAGCAGTCACAATTCTTTTAAGTTTGTTATTATAATTAACCGCCCGAATTGCGAAACCAGTCAAAATTAAACTAAAATAATATTATGAAATCTTACTAATAAGTATGAAATATTAGGTTGTCAAATATCTCCCTTCCGCTTTTTTGCTCTTGGTTTATAATACAAAAAGGCGGAAGGGAGATATTTGACAACCTATTATATTATTGAATTACAAAGTGTGTTTCAATATAAACTCAATTTAACATTTATGGGAAATGTCCCAAATATATTATAAGACGGTACGCGTTATAAGCGGGTTGACTATACTTAGTCTTAAACTAGCCATCTATCCCTTATCCTATTACCTTCACAAAACAAAGTAACATCCGCCAAGCTCTCGCTCTTGTACAGATTCGAGAACGCCGACGCCAAATTCGTCCCGAACGAATTCCACTTCAGACAGAACTGCTGCTGCTGCTGCTGCTGATTCAGCATCTGCTGCTGCTGCTGCTGCTGCTGATTCAGTATCTGCTGATTCATCAGCCCATTGTTCAGCAGATGACTGCTGTTCCCACTATCGGCGGAGTCGGCGACGGCGACGACAGATTTCTGGGCGAATCGCATGAGGACGGAGTCTGGCTCAGATTCGGAGGCGTCGTGTTCGATAGATTGGTTAGATTGGAGGTCAGTTGCTGAGGTGAGGGCTGGACAACGTGGTTCCCGGTGGTAGAAGAGAGCTGGTTGACGGCGGTGGAGGATTGGGTAGGGTGCGGGGATGAGGGCGATGTCGTCGGGCTATCCATCTGGAAGAGGGAAATAGAAATTGATTAGTTGTAAGTGGTACATAATTATCTTAAACAATAATGATTGAGGTTCAGGTATTTGGGTATAATGTTCAATTGTCAAAAATAAAATTTTCGCTATCACTAAAAACTGATCAATACGATTTCCAATTGATGTCCTTCGAGTATACTTATAATATCTGTAATTGTGTAAGGGATCGTTCAAGTATTACGTAAGCAGATTTATTACAATTACTTACCCCCCCTCCCCTTTGTAAGTAAAAGTAAACAAAGTTCTTAATCAAAATAAGCAAATCAATAAACCCCCCCCCCCCGACCCTCTATAGTGCTTACGTAATACTTGAACGGCCCCTAAATTAAATTAACTCAAAATGTATTTTATTCTTCACGCGTTAACTGCAATTAGTAGTTACATACAAATCACGAAACGTGCATATATTCGGCTTAGATTCTTATAATCGCAATTTCAAACTTAGTATTTTTTTTATAATTGAACCGCTTATCGTAGACCTATAATATTTTAGAATGTTATTTCAGACTACAAAATCCATAGTCATACAAACTTTCACCAATATCGTCAAAAAAATTCAACTTCAATTTTTTTTTTCTTTTTTTAGAAAAATGACAAAGGACTCTACTGACGAGCATATTAAATACGAAATGGATTCCACTGACTAGCAAATTAAAGTAAAAGACTAGAAAAATAAAAAAGGACTCTACTGACGAGCAAACTTAATGAGGAAAAGAGACTCTACTGACAAGCATATTAAATACAAAACTAAAAAATAAAAAGGATTCTACTGACGAGCAAATTACAACAAATTGACTAGAAAAATAAGGAATTAACTCTACTGCCGAGCATATTTTTTTTTTTTTTTGTTACAATTTATTTTTGTTAATCAAGACTTTAATGTCTACCGAGCATATGAATGCAAAATTGAAGTATTAAAAAGGATTCTACTGACGAGCAAATCAGAGAAAATCGATACAAAAATGAGAAAGGGACTCCACTGACGAGCAAACTTAAATTGCAAACTAAACCATAAAAATTGAGTCTACTGACGAGCATACTTAAATTGCTAACTGAACCATAAAAAATGGACTCTACTAATGAGCTAATTAGAGCAAACCGACAAGAAAAATGTTAAAAGGACTCTACTGACGAGTAAATTAAATTTAATAAAGAATGCAAATAAAGGAATCTACTGACGAGCTAATTAAAATTTCAAAAATGATAAAAAGAACTTTACTGACGAGCAACATTAATTGCAATGTAAAAGATAAGATGGATTTTACTGACTAAATTAAAAACTTAGTAATCGACTAAAAAAATAAAAAACGAACTCTACTGACGAGCAAACTAAATTTTGGTAAAGAAGACAAATATAGAACTCTACTGACGAGCTAATTAAAATTTCAAAAATGATAAAAAAAGGACTCTGCTGACAAACAAATTAAATTGCAATCTGAAAGATAAAATAGATTCTACTGAAAAAATTAAAAAACTTACTTAGTAATAGCCTATAAGCATAAGAAACTATACTGACGAGCAAACTAAATTTTTATAAAGAAGACAACTTAAATTTCAAACTAAACCATAAACTAGTGGGGCGCATGGCATCGTTCCTTAAGGCAAATTGCTGGAACTTCCCGTACCGTAACGAAATATGTTCGAGGAATATTAAATGTTTTCATATAGATTATTATAAATGCTGTAGCATTGCGTAATATTTATAACAATTATATGAACAGAAGCACATTGTCAAAAATAGTCATTTAAAGCATATTACTTAAAATAAAATCTGAATTATTTTCTATATACACAAAAAATAGTATTTAGTATTTAAATTATTTAAATATTTGCCTTCGGACTGAAGATGAGTCGAATCAGGATTCAAAACGAATGCTACTTTAATGAAGAACAATTTTATTTTTTTATCTTTGGCATTTTTGTTAAATAATTGAATGTATGCGTAGACAACTTTTATTGTAAGAAACAAAACTAAATTATTTTTGGTAAGCCAAAATACACATTTTATATATCTATATATATATATATATATATATATATATATATATTTCCTATGTTCAATTTTCCTCCATGCACATAGTATTGATTCACCCAAAATTGTACCAGGGTGCAACGCCAAGGGTGCGCATTCGCCCTCTCGCTCACACACTCATACAAATGCACCGAGGAGTGAAAGTGAGAGAGAGAGTGTGAGGTAAATTCCGAACAACGAAAAAAGTTGTCCTGGGGATGATTTGCATATCTGCATTCGCACACAAAGGGTTGAGGGAAAAATTAATTAGGAGGACAAATGCAAGGAGAAAGGAAAAATATTATTTTCACACAAGTTCTATAACTTTGTTCATTTGAATCAAAAACATCCTCCAGTTTTTTATTTACAGGAACAAAGTTATAAAACTTGTGTCAAAATATTTCTAGTATATATATATATATATATATATATATATATATATATATATATATATATATCTTATATATAAAAATGGAGCTCTCTTTCAAATGTCTTAGTAAAACTCGAAAACGGCTAAACCGATTTGGCCAGTCTTAGTCTTGAAAAATTCGTGCCAATCCAGAGATGGTCGGAAAGGTGAGATATTATTTCAAAATCGCGTACAAACTTTACATTTTTAGTTTGAAATTTTTTGTAGAAGCGTAATTTGAATAAAACAATGGACGGTGGCTAATACGTCAAATGTCAAACGTTTTAGACAGATGATATTCAATTACGTTTAATAGGATGTTTTACGTGAATATTATTTAATTATGATTTAATTGTAGTAAGTAGTTTTGTTCGTAGTTATATTTATATACAAAAACGTTATTAAACGGGCCGCAACTGTTACTAGAGACTCCAAATATCAACTTTTTTGAAATGTTAATATGAAAACGCACTTTTTGGCATATTTTACTCAAACACGAAGCTCTGAAAGATCTCATTTGTATAATTATATACTCATTGGTATTTATAAAACATTTTCTAGATTATATTATTTTTTATTTATGTTTTTAAATTCAGAACTTAAATTTGGTATCGATCAAATGGACATTTTGTCGAATAACATATTCCCAGTTATAATTTCCCAGAATTTATCGAAGAATAGATAGTAATATATGAACGTCCGAGGTTAAAAAGGTCCACCATCGATGTGTCAAGAATCAGGAAAGTTAAGCATTGTTTAACAACAATATTTGAAAGTAGAGGACAAAAGATGTATAACCAGCTATAACCTTGATTTGAAAACGATAATCTTTGAAATGGGGGAGATAAACGGTAATCTTTGAAAATCCATAATAAAAGTATTTTCTTCCGTTGGTAGTTTTTTAGCATTAGTTAAAAATGTAATTATTTTGTAAAATACATTTAAAATTAAAATAAGACATTAAACCTGTTTGCCACCTGGCCGTTCCAAGTTACTTCGCCTATAGGGTAAAAAGGTCTAGATAACAAATTTTTGAAAGACAGCAAAAAAGTACATTTCTACAATGATGAAGTAGCTGACAGTTTTACTGAACGTAGTCAGATAATTGTTCGTTTGAAATGTGTTATTTGTTGTGATGTAATTGGTTTGATTTTTATAATATAATTAATATTTGCTCAAAGTCAAATTGGACCTTTGTGCCTCACCTTGCTCTACATATATACTTTTTATTGAATATACTTTAATTCATCGAATGTTACTTGAAACTTTTCAAAAAGCATGTCAAAGAAGAAACACTTAATTCATTTTCTATCTCTCCTCGCAAAAATTTGAAAATTTTGTATAAGCTCAGTAGTATTATTTACAAAAAGAATCTGAAAGACTTGAAACGTAATCAATAAGTCGAAAGACCAAAAAAGACTTGGATTGGATTATACCATGTTTTCTATAGAAAGTGTATAAAACTTTCAGTTTGATTGTATTGACAAAATATAGACAAACTCATGGGGTTTATTGTTTTGATAATACATCATTGTATATAGCATTCAAACAACATATCCTTATACACTTAAAGTATTAAGATTTTTGATTCTCTAGAAATTGTTTAAAATATACCTTACTTAGCAAAACAACGTTTGCCAGGTCAGCTAGTATATATATATATATATATATATATATATAAATATATACACATCTATGTAGATCCTTTATCACATTATCTATCCCAATATTAAACGTTGATTTATTCACCAAAGGAATAAAAACTACCCTTCGGCACGGCACACCCTGACCCAATTGCCTGATTAAGAAATAGATTTTTTTCTCTAACCTCATCACCGTCATCATTAATATCCGAAACGTATATTAATTCGTTGAATAATACGATTTTGCGTGATCTGAACACATTTATGCAAAATAGGGGAGGTTGGGGTAAAGGATAACCTCGTAGTATCAAAGTCAGAGGAAGTGTTTATTAATTTTTTTGTTACACGCGTCGCCTATAGGTGACATCCACTTGGCGACCTGTGTGTACGAGTGTTGCCTATAGACGACGTACGGAGTATTGAACAAAAGCTTCTAGTTTGTGTGAATTTTAATTTTTAAATTGATTAATTTAAAAAGTACAAAATTTTTTGTCCTTAAACAGGTATAATCTAAAAACTTTTTACAAAAACAATTTAAGTTTGCTCGTCAGTAGAGTCCCCTACTCAATTTTTAATTTGTTCGTCAGTGTTTCTACTACTTCATTCAGTCCGATAACCAGACAGTTATACATTTTATAAAAAT